GTTGGGGGCAATATGCTGACTCTCTGTAAACCGCTTAGAGAGGGCTGAAAGCCCTATGAAGCGGTATATAAGTCTACTGCTATTGCTATAAAAAATTCCTGCGGGTGGAATGAGAAAAGCGGCTGCCTGGAAGCTTTTCACAAAGGCAAAGCGCTCAACGCAAGGGGAAATGTGTGTGGAAATGCTGGACTGGTGAACATGGGCTCTTCTCCACATGAACTGGAGGAGGGGCCCCCGGCCTGCTACTTAGGGGTGTCCTGACCATGAGGGGAGCCTGGCTGAAAGGAATCTAGCCGGGGGTCATTAAAAGGGGGGCAGGTCAGATATGGCCGGTCGTCATGCAGAGGCAGCTTCTGCCACCATTCACCCACACTCCTCACACGCACCCTGCAAGCCCAGGTGACCCCCCCCCCTCTCTCCTTCCTGGTTTTCTGGAGCTCCGTCTTCGAAGGCGGCTGTCCCCTCCTCAGCGTCCTCCTGAAGGCCCCGGCTCATCCGGAGCCTCTTTTCATAACAGCTCCCTGCCATTCAAAGGGCCGCCTGACTTGTTATCATGTGGATCCCCCCCGGCAGCCCAAAGGAGGAGCTGAGCCCGTTCCTTTAAAAGGAAGGGGAAGAAAGAGTTCTTTCTTTTAAGTTTTGCTAATCAATGTTGGAGGTAGGGACAGAATCAGTAATGAGAACGTTAGGAAGGGATCCGGGGGATCTTTGACATGGATACAATGCTTCCCAGGAAAGAAGCCGGAGGGATCGCTCTCCTCCGCTCCTGAAGGCGACCTCCAGAAACCAACCAGAAGAACCGCCAAGAGGCTCTGGGATCCCTGGAGCCGAGTCCCAGTGGAGAAGTCCTTCTGGGAGCCGGTGAAGCACTGCTGGTTTTCCCATCTCGGCTGCTTAGTGGGAGAGCGGAGGCTTTCTGGGAGGAAAGCTGCTGAGAGAGGAACCTGCGTCCCACAGGTGAGTGTTTGGGGCAGCCAAAGACACTGGCACTCGTCCTAAAGCGCTTCTGGAAAAGAAAAGCGGTGGGGGCCACCTTTTATTTTTCCTAAGCGGCCCCACAAAGCGTCCACGATGCCCGAGGCGTCCCCCGTGCGGGTGCGTCTGGACTTCCCCAACGGCACCACTGGTCCTCTGGCCAACTGGACCAACGAGACAACCTTCTGCGCCAGTGAGCAGCAAGTGGTGATCCCCAGCGAACTCTTCTTGACTCTGGGAGCGATGAGCTTCGTGGAGAACCTGCTGGTGGTGGCCGCCATTGTCAAAAACCGGAACCTCCATTCCCCCATGTATTACTTCATCTGCTGCCTGGCCGTTTCAGACATGCTGGTGAGCGTCAGCAACCTGGTGGAGACCCTTTTCATTCTGCTGATAGAGCACGGGATGCTGCTGATAGAGCCCAGCCTGGTCAAGCAGGTGGACAACGTCATGGACATGCTGATCTGCAGCTCCCTGATGTCCTCGCTCTCCTTCCTGGGCGTCATTGCCATGGACCGCTACATCACCATCTTCTACGCCTTGCGCTATCACAGTATCATGACCATCCAGCGGGCTGCCATCCTCATGGTGGCTGTGTGGCTGATCAGCAGCGTCTCCAGCGTCCTCTTCATCGTCTACGACAGCACTGCCGTCCTCATGTGCCTGGTGGCCTTCTTCCTCTCGGTGCTGAGCCTCATTGCAGGGCTCTACATCCACATGTTCGTGCTGGCACACCGGCACGCCAGGCAGATTTCAACCATGTATGGCAAGCAGCACGCACCCCAATTCACCAGCATGAAGGGGGCCATCACCCTCACCATCTTGCTGGGGGTCTTCTTGATTTGTTGGGGACCCTTCTTCCTCCACCTCATCCTCATCCTCATCTGCCCCGGCCGTCCTGCCTGCAAGTGCTACTTCCGCTACTTTAGCCTCTATCTCATCCTCATCATCTGCAATTCAGTGGTGGACCCCATAATTTACGCCTTCCGGAGCCAGGAGCTCAGGAGAACGTTGAAAGAGGTGGCCCTGTGTCTCTGGTGACAGAGGAGGAGAGGCTGGGTCCCTTAGGACACAGCGCAGACCTCAGGCGGTCACCCCCAGCCCAAGGAGGGCCCAGGGGCGCCGTTAAGGCCAAGCAGGTGACTCTTTGTGACGCAGCACCGGAAGTAGTGGAGACGAGATTGCTGCCCTTTGGGTTTCTGACCATTGGAAGAGCCCCGCGTCCTGCCTCTCCTCTCCCTCTTCTGGCCAGCTGGGTGCTTATTGGATGGTCACCGCCGGGACTTGGAAAAAGTCACCATTGCCGCAATCTGCCGTAATGGGTGTCTGGTGTCAGCGGCTGCCTCCTATTGTTGTTCCCAGCGAATGCCCCCTTGCGATTCCCACGGGTTCCGTTTAGTCCCAACCGGTAGAGGACAAAGGACCAGCCCTCCCCTGCCCTCTCCAGGTCAAATCCTGCTTTAAAACTGGGGGCTCAGAGCCGGGGGGGGGGGGTGTTTGCCAGTGAAGGCAGCCCAGGACAGTTCTCACCCTGGGCTGTGGGATCGTTTGCGGAGAGCCGGATTCATGCCTGCGTCTCTTCTGCGATCTGAGGTGAGCGATGAAGTCTGTAAGCGGCTGCACCAGAGAACTCGGAGAATGAGAAAAATATCCAGCAGCCTCTCAACTCCCTTTCCTCCTGGGCGGGATTTATACTTTACACTAGCAGTTTGAATGCAAATACCTTTTTGTACAGGATGGTCGTTGCTTTGTACTAAAAACTACTTTGAATTTTTTGACAGATCAATGCGCTCCTTCCTTTGGGTTTCCTGGGTGCCTCTCTCCTTCCTCACCAGCAGCAGCTGCCCACCCTTGAAGGATGAAAGGGGCCTGAATCAGATTGGGTGGCACGGAGGGCGTCCGGGGAGGGAAGGCGAGTGCCAATGAAGCATGATGGTCACAAGAGTTTGGGATCAGAGTGAGAATTGGGACCTCGGATCTGCATCACTCTTTGCAATATTAGCCCATTTCCGTCAGTTGGGTGGGATTTCAGTGTAAGTTCCTTGCAAGGCCCTTGTAGAGGACCCGATCTTTTTTAACTTCATGTTTCTAAAGGGCACATATTTCAAATCCTACTTGGATCAAGGCTCCTCTTGCAGAGGTGAATCCACTCAGGAAGTTAGCTTGATAGGTCAGCTGAAGGGGGGCAAGAGGGGGGGTTCTGATGGGGACAAGCAGGCTGCTCTCCAAGGGGCAACAAAAGAAGCAGTTGGTCTCCCTGTGGCATGCCACAGATGGACTTTGCCACTGGATCCCGACTGAAGGGACAGGGAATCTAAGGGGGTGGATTTCACCTGCGACTCTGCAGAGGGAACAAGGGCATTGGTGGGAGGGAGGGAGGGAGGGAGGGGTCCAGGGAATGAGATCCATCTTCTACACACCCATTGGGGTTCTATTTCTCCTACGCAAAATATAATTCTTGCCGTTGTTCCTTGTTATAATATAGGCAGGAGATAAAAGGGTTTGCGATT